CCCGCCCAACTCCACGCCTCCCACTGAGGCGCGCACACGCACACGCACGCACCTGCCCGCCCAACTCCACGCCTCCCACTGAGGCGCACACGCGCCCGCCCGCCCAACTCCACGCCTCCCTCCTGATTCGGGGACAGTCACCTCCAAAGCTACTGGTATGAGCAGTGGCCATCCCAGGCACTCGATACCTTGCCTGGCCAGCGGCTGAGCCTGGGAATCAGCGCACTGTTTCTCATGGTGGTCTAAAGAGGGCTGGGAGATCTAATGATTGCCAAGAATGCGGAATCTACTCCCCGTGTTGGAGCTAAAGCTGGAAGTGCCCGCTAGCTTACTCCAAGTAACAAGCATCTCGTTACATGTCAAAATCTTCAAAATAAAACTAGTAATATGAACAGCCATGCTTTTAATTCCTGCAAACTTATTTGGGGTCCGGTCATGGCTGTCTCTTGTATCTCTGCTTTCAGCTCATGGCACGGGCCAGGGGAACACTGGAAAACTCCACAGTGCACTTATGAGAAGGAAGGAAGGCAAGCAGCATCTGGACTTCATAGGAGAGCCATTCAGAAACGCCGTCCTCTCTGGGCTCCCGACTCCCAGGACGGCTGTCAGGCCTCAATGCAAACGCTGTCCGGACGGCGCTCAGTGTCAGTCTCACCTGCTCTACCACTCTCCAGCAGATGGCCCAGAGCAAGGGCGCGGGCTGGCCGGGATCTCTTTGAGAGGGGTGCCCGCTGATGGGCAAGGCAGCCAGCCTCTGGTTTCTATCCACTAGCGCCCACCATGGCCCGGGCTCTGCCCACCCAGCCTTGCCCAGGTCCTTCCTGGCCAAGGTCTCCTTGGGATGCGGATGAATGGGGACAATCAGAGCAAGCCTGAGTGGGGACGACCCCCGAACCCTGGCCTGTCCCGACCCGACGACCCAAACCTTGACTAGTCTCTGGACCCCTCCCTAGACCCCCTCCCCAGACCAGGTCCCAGAGCCCTCCCTGAACCCCAAGTCCCCCCTCACCTCCTCCCCCAGTCCTGTGGACCCCCCCAGACCAAGTCCCCAGAGCCCTCCCTGAAACCCCAGGCTCCACCTCCTCCCCCAGACCAGGTCCCAGAGCCCTCCTTGACCCTCAGGTCCCCCCTCACCTCCTCCCCCAGTCCTGTGGACCCCCCAGACCAGATCCCAGAACCCTCCCTGAACCCAGGCCCCCTCCTCCCCCAGACCAGGTCCCAGAGCCCTCCCTGAACCCCAGGCCCCCCTCCTT